TTTTGGTCCACGTGATTCAACCTACTGACAATTTACCCAATAGTATTTCGGCACCCCAGTTTGCCAGTTAGCGGAAAACAGCCATGGAAGCTAGCAAACAAACTGGATCAGAGATCGCAGATTCTACCCAACCTAAAAAGCCTCGACATTCATCTACATTCATGACCAGAGGCATATTAAAACACGGTTAAATCAACTCGTCAACTTACAGTCTAAAGTTCATCGCCTTCCATTGTCAATTGCACTCATTCCCGTTGCTCTTGTGAGAGTTGAGTCTGAGGAGGAGGGGCCGGGAGAAACAATTCTCTCCAATGTTTTGCCACCAAACTTGAAGAAACACCCTCATATGTTAATCGTTTCCATTAATCACAATGCTTTGTCTTTTTAGTTCATTAGGAGGATATAGCTGTTGACTCATTTGGCTTTGATCTGAAAAGAGAATCCTCCCTTTGAAACAGATCTCATTATAAATGTGTAAGACGGTAATTAACCAGCTCCTATGAGGCTAATTGTAGTAAGCCCGCAACAACTTGAGCAAATATTGATTTAGTCATTGTGAGTTAAGAGCTACCATTAAATAAAACAGGAACTGAATCAATGATCATGGGATACGACTGTTTAAGAGACAATCAGTGAAAGCCTTTCCGGAAAGAAACACACTAATGCAGAATTTTCTGTATCAGGCAGGAAAAGGGAAGGTGAAAATCGCAGCATCGCACAATTAGAGAGAATAAAGCAACTATATTAACCACCCACACACAATGCTTTAGTTCAGTTAGGATAAATAAAGACCAAATAATAAAGGGAAATTCTATTTGGCTGATTAGTTGGTTCAGATTTCTTCCTAATGTCTCCCACACTGGGGTTCCACAAGCATAGCGGTTTAATAAGCCACAGTCTACAGACACTGGTGAGTCTCTGGCACCAGTCGCTGACAGGATCTGCAGTGCCATGGGTTATTAGGATGTGTCCCAGAGGAAGGACACAGCCTCAATCAATGAATCGAAAGGACCCCTGATACCTTGCAGTACAAGAAACAAATTAAATAGTGACCCAAGCTAACCAACAATGCCTCAAAGTCAACAAACAGCCTCCAGGCAAGCTTACTAAAGTGATCCCCATAGTACTGTACCAAGGTCTTAGTTATTTAAGCCATATACCTTAGCAGCTTACCTTTGCACTGGGTTATCTATGCATTCTAATTTAAGGATATATAACATTCAGGCCAAGAGTCTACGTTAAAGTGTATTCACAACCCATTTTACTTTCATACTGGGAGAAATTTTTGAGAAAAAATTTAATGAGAAAAATATGTTTGACCAGCCCTTGTGAAAAAGAAGTACAATTTAGTATACATTTATAAAGATCATTATGACGGAAATAATATACTTTCAAAGAGTATACTTAAGTGCGAACTTGAGTTCACCTGCATGTTAATTGCGATTAAATTAAAATGTAATATAGATTACATTTATATGAACTTTAGAGTGCTTTTTTGACCCACTTAAGTAGGACTTAAGTACATCTTTACATGTAATTATTATTTTTTTATATTATTCTATCGTCTTTGAAATATGATTTAAGTGTACTGCCGAATTTACTAACAAGCACTTATAGAAAAATAAAATATATTTTAACGTAGTTTCTATTAAAACTTGTATGTCATGTATTTAAATATATTCATAATTACACATTTGTATTGATGAAGTTGCAATTTAGTTCATTTAAAATATATTAACTTTAAATGTAATTGAATTACACTACAGTTCAAATTTTAAGTACATGTGGTTTAGTGAGTCAACATAAAAATAAGTGTACTTAAAAACATTGATTTTTACACTTTAAAGTAACTTTTAATTTGACATTATTGCAAAGTGCACATTTTAAGTGTTAATAAACAGTCATGAAAGTGTACTCTTTAAGTACACTTAAGTGTCCTTTTTATGTATATATATATATATATATATATACAATAAAAGTAGTGTATGCTAAAAGTGCACATTCAGTATAAATAAGTGCACTACTTTTTCACATTGGATGGACCCTATGAGACCCCGTTATTGGAGTCCCACTTGTCACAGTTGCAATTACAAGAAATAAAGTTGAAGTTACGAGAATAAACTCATGTGCACATTGCAAGAGACAACAAGACACCACAATATTATTAAACATCACAGCTGCAGCAATAAGACGTTCAAAAGTCTCTGTTAGTGCTGACAAGATGGCAGGAAAAGATTTTCTCATTACTTCATTCATTTCATACCATGCCAACAGTCAGTGGCACACATTCAAGCACTATACTGTATGTTTCTATGTCAATTTTTCATCTGTAGTGGCATGGTTTTTTTTGTTTACTGTTAGGATTCTCTCAATTCAAGGCCTCTGGTGGATGCACTTAGGCACTGGTCCAACCGGCCTGATCCATAATCCATCCTTGGACAGGACTTGTTTTTATCTGTTGGAAACTGACTGGGTCATGAAAAGTGGGCGTTCCAGACCTGAATGCGAGTCGACTGAGGAGTACTTTCTTCCTGAAAAATTGCTGGCACCCACTTTTGAAGAGGTGTTTTGAACAGAAAGAGGAGGCTTAAGGTCAAGTTCACCCTCCAAAGCATCTTGGTGTACTATAATGGAAATACTTCATTTCGTTGTTCATTTTTTGCTGTTCTATTATGCTTATTTAAAGGGGGAGTTAGGGGTTAAGTAAGATTTCAAAAGAAAATAAATTAATATTTTTATTCAGCAAGGACATATTAAATTGATCAAAAGAGTAAAGCTGCAGTGACAGAAAAGACACTAATAATGTTACAAAAGATTTGTATTTAAAATAAATGTTGTTAATTGAACTTTCTATTCATCGAATCTTGAAAAAAAAAATTTGTCATGGTTTCCACAAAATTATTAAGCACCAAAAACTGTTTTTAGCATTGATATTAATGAGAACCATTATCAATAAATGAGCTCCAATAATAATTATTAATAACTGAGCAAATTAGAATTATTTCTAAAGGATCATATGTGACCCTGGACCACAAAACGGATACATTTTTTTATTTATATATAATCTGAAAGCTGAATAAATAAGCTTTCCATTGATCTATGGTTTGATAGGATATGACAATATTTGGCCGAGATACAACTATTTGAAAATATTGAATCTGAGGGTGCAAAAAAAAATCAAAATATTGAGAAAATTGCCTTTAAAGTTGTCCAAATGAAGTTCTTAGCAATGCATATTACTAATTAAAAATTAAGTTTTAATATATTTACAGTAGGAAATTTACAAAATATATTCATGGAACATGATCTTTACTTAATGTCCTAATGATTTTTGGCATAAAAGAAAAAGCAATCATTTTGACCCATACAATGTATTTTTGGTTATTACTACAAATATACCCCAGCGACAAGACTGCTTTTGTGGTCCAGGGTCACATATGACACTGAAGACTGGAGCAATGATGCTGAAAATTCAGCTTTGCATCACAAGAATAAATTACATTTTAAAATATATTCAAATAGAAAACAGTTATTTGAAATTGTAATAATATTACTCAATATTACGGTATTTTTTAGTCAAATAAATGTAGCCTTGTTGAGCTCAAGAGACCTCAAAAACATTCAAAATCCACTTCTGACCAGTACACACTAAAGTAAAGGTCAAATAAAAAAGCATAGTATGTGCCCTTTCACATTAAAGGGATAATTCACCCAAAAATGAAACCGTGGTCCTTGGTGATTCAAAAAATACAAGTCAGTGGATGCCCATGTTTCAGAAGCTGAACGTTATTTACAACATTACTACCTGTAACCCAGAGCCTCAAACAAACAGTCTGGAGTGATGTCTGGTTCGTGAACGAATCATTCTTTTGAAGCAGTTCTTTTTGGTGAACTAGTTGAGCTAGTTGTACCAGTTCACCAAATCTGACTGAAACATCTGAAACACTTTGAGCCTTGAGCAGCACAGATATACAAGTTACTCAATCAAAAGTCACTTCAGATGTGGCTGACAGTCACTCTTGACTTGAAATGAGCCAAAATAACAGTGGATATGATCTTATGGAGCTGGTTTTGCCAACTCATTTAGAACTCCAGTTCTTCCAACAGTCACTTTATTCACTTTATATGCTTTAGACCTTTAGACATGTAAACCATCCATGTTTCACATCATTATTGGGTGCTTTAATAATATAATTGCGTATATGTCATTACGTCATTGCATGATTAATGGGCATAAACAAACTAGTGAACTGAACCAGTTAATAAAATCAAACAGTTAATTGAATCAAACAGTTAATTGAATCAAACGGTCCAGTTCGTTGAAAATAATCTTATTTCCCCGTTGCTTGCTATGGATTACAGGGAATAATGTTGTAAGTAATGTTCAGTTTCTTGCACAGACCAATTGTTTCTCTTCATAAGACTTCAGCATATCATCAGAAGCCACGGCTATTAATTTTGCGTTCCTTGATATGCTTTTTTTATTCTCAAAAATGGGCAGCTGCTGACTTGCATTTTATGAATCACCAAGGACCATGGCTTCAGCTAAAAATCTTCTTTACTGTTCTCCTCAAGAAGTGTCACCTACATCTTGGATGGCCTGAAGGTGAGTAAATTAACAGCAATTTTTCATTTTTGGGTGAACTATCCCTTTAACTAGCATCCGATTAATACATTACATTTTGGCATGCTTTTTAAGAAGGCTGCATTTGCATTACATACAACAGTCGCCTAAAACAATGGCTAAATAGCTATTTAGAGATTGGTTAAAATTACTAATGGCCTGTGCTGCCTATGTGACATCACCCAAAAAGCATAGTCAGAAGTGGAGCAAAAACATTTAAAGAAAGATTACAAAGGCTTTAAAGTCTGTCACTATACATTTGTGCATTACAGCATAATCAATAACTTTCAGAGTCATTCTACACGCACTAAATTCCAGCTAATAAAAATTCCAAGCCTACGTGTCCACCTCCATCAGCAGAGACACCAGCACTAACCTGTCATAATCCTGGCAGATCTCCCCCACAGCTATCAAGGCTTTCAGATACTCATTCGGCTGATATGGGTTGATGTAGTGCAGGGAACAGCTATTGCGAGGGTCCCCATTGGACGCCGTGAAGTCAATGGCAACCTAGAGAGATAATAGCACGACACACTCTTGATAAAACCGCAAAATGCAGGACAAAAATGTAATGGGTTACATAATCTGATCGATCGTCAAGTAAGTTTAATCACTTTAGTTTTACGCCTGGAACAAAAGTTGTCTCCATTGTAGACAATTGAAAGGAAATGTCAGTCTACAAAAAAGCCAAGCACTTAAGAGCTGTCTTTCCTGGGAAGTTACACAAAACCTGTCTAGAACAGTTCTGCAATCAAATAGCCATCTGTATAAATAATTAAAGTGCTTAAAACGGATAGTATGTACATTTTATTTGTTTAGAGCTGAGCCGGTTGTATAGTCATGCATCAAGCAGATGTTATAATCCAAAATAACAAAAACAGCTACCATATGCTCTATAATACAGAAAAACAGCTCATATCCCAGAAAACACTTGATATATTATATACTGCATTACAGTTAGCTTGTCACGGTTTCAGTTCAATTTGGACTTTGTTTTCTGTTTGCACCATTTCCACTGTTGAGTTGGTTGTTATGTTTTCTGATTAGTTGTCATTCAGTTCAGGTGTATGTTGTTAATTATCCTTGTTTGCTCGTATATTTAAGTTGCTCTGTTTCGGTTCAGTGTTGTTGGGTCTCATCTGTGTTGGAAGTGTTGTTGCTGTTCTCTATATGTGGATTATTTACCTGTGGATTTATTAAAGATTACCTTCTGCCTTCATCTTTTAGCTCTAGAACACCGTTCCATGACATAACTAAAGATCCTATGTGAATACTGCACCAAAACATTGATTCTAACCATTCACTCTAAGGCTTTCACTGCTTGACATCTGATTATCTTTAATTTAACAGGCAACGGGGGAATTCAGATATTTAAATAATGAATATTCAATTGAATTCATTAATAATCTTGGCCCATTTTTCTGTTCTTAAGGGGAGCATAAGGGCGGGGGACTTAAAACAGTTTGGAGGAGATATTCATTTGTTCTTTTGCCTGCAGCCGTGAAACAATCTCATACTGACTCAACATAAAACTCAAGAGCAGCTGGTCAGAAAATGTAACAAAAAATAACAACTCTGAATGGGGACAAAATCTTGTTTTAAGAATCTTAGCTATTTTTACTAGCAAACAAGAAAAAAAAAATACTTAAGAACATGACATTCTGCGGTCTGCCTCACAAAATCATGTATAATCTACAGTACTATAAATGAGCTGCATTTGCTTTGAGGTGGCAGTTATCAGTCCAGCACGTCTGGCATCATTATCTGTATGCTTGCTGGAGAACATGGGCAGTAAATCTGTGAAGGGTCTGGTGCTAAATGTGGAGTGCACTGCTGTTCCCACTTACTGTGAAGTGTATTTGGCAGCCTCCCATGATGTAGTCCAGGAAGGAATAGACTCTGTGAAGCTGCAAAATGAAGAATGGAGGGTGAGTCTCAGAAACCCTGCCACATTTATCTGCCTGCCTCACCAGAAAACACTATCTGCAAGGCTACCTGCAAACTTTCAGCCTCTCACATAAACATCACATATCAAACACACACATGTACTGTACACGAGATACGAAACTAGGCATTCTATTTCATTCTGTTTAATACTAGTTTATGGTGGTTTGGTGCTGGTGAACCTGGTAGGCCTAGAAAGTCTTGCAAGTTAAACTAGATACCTGGAGGGGACTTTGTATGAAAACTTTTGCTGCCAAAGTAATCAAATTAATGTGTGTGATTAACTAAAATATCAGTATTTATTTCTTTTCTTTTTTTTTTTTAATATCTGTCATTTTTTATTTTAATGTTTTTTAATGCCTTTAAAGCAAAAGTAACATAATTTGCACTCTTTGTACTCTTTTTATTGAGCTCAGCAAGTGATACGTGTGACCCTGGACCACAAAACCAGTCTTAAGTGTCAATTTTTCAAAACTGAGATTTGTACATCATCTGAAAGCTGACTATATAGGCGTTCCATTGATGTATGGTTTGTTAGGATAGGACAATATTTGGCTGAGATACAGCTATTTGAAAATCTGGAATCTGAGGGTGCAAAAAAAAATCTAAATATTGAGAAAATCGCCTTTAAAGTTGTCCAGATGAAGTCTTTAGCAATGCATATTACTAATCAAAAATGAAGTTTATATATATTTACGTTAGAAAATTTACAAATTATCTTCATGGAACATGATATTTACTTAATATTCTAATGATTTTAGGCATAAAAGAAAAATCTATCATTTTGACCCATACAATGTATTTTTGGCTATTGCTACAAATATACCCCAGCGCATTTTGAACAAAAAGCTGAAAAAAGACTATGAATTGGATTTAGAATGATAATCAAAACGTAGATGGAGTCGATCAACACCCCAAAGCTTGACGGTCATTACCTCTTCATGGCTCGACATTTTATTCCATAACATTACACAGTTTTGATGCTGTTTTATGTCTTATGATCGTGTTAGAATACATGTGGAAGCATCTGTTGTGTTTCGGTTTCTTCTTCGCTTGTGTTTTGGTAATTCTGTACAGAAGATGTGTACTAGCGCCCCCTACCGTATAACAATGAAAACATGGATTCCTGGAGCACAAGTATACCTCAAATATATTTAGACTTTTTTCTAAGTATAAGTCAAGTATACTTAAATGTCATTTTAAGTATATTTCTGAGAAGTACATAAAAAGTAGACTAAAAGTATACTTTCCTATTTTTAGTTTAAAAGAAGTATACTAATAGCACACTTGAATAAACGTCTTTTTCGTAAGGGTATATACTGAAGGCCAGCAGCAATAACAAATCTGTTGACAAGTAAAGAGTGCCATTCTATAAATTTAGCTCTAGTTGTGTCATCTAGAGAAACTGCCAAACCTAATAGTTACACATGGGCCTGTTGTTTGGTTTTCCCAAAACATAATGCTTTAACTGTTAATGCACTCATTTAATCAATGTATTAATCAATTAATAGTTCTACTGAAAAACAAAAACAAGTTTCAATCTGAATTGATACATGTGGGGGGAAAAACAGCAACAACACACTTAAGCAGCTCAATAAATAAAAAACTTCCCTATTTGAAAGTGCACAAACGAGACAAATGCATTAGCCTCTTCCCACCCCACTAATGTCTTTAAGCTTGATTGTCACACCCACCCACAACAATAATAACTCTGCTGTCTTTTCATTCACAGCTGGTTAGCCAGTCAAGTACTAGCATCCCTAAAAGAAGGATGGCATATCTACAAAGCTCTATCTCTATACACATAAACATAGACTGTCAGACTCTTACCTTGAGATCGCTGAGAATAACCAACCCAGAGTTCTTGTAGTTCTTCTTCTTCAGTTTGTATTTTGGATTGATGCAGTCCCATGTGACCTTCAGGAGCACGGGAAGAGATCAAAGAGGTGAGCTGAAAACTGAAGGTGGCACTGCAGCGAAGTCACTTTTTCCACACATGCAGAAGGGTTGTAACATTTCTTTAATCCATTCTAGTTCTCAGCAGGAAACCGCTATAACCGAAATCAAACACCAATGTATGGCAGAATGTCTCACACTGACCTTGTTTCCTGAGGAAATCTTCTGCATTTCTTTGAAATTAGTGTAGAATTCGCCAATGAAGTCATGCTTTCCCCTCGAGTCATAGTCCCAGACTAAGCACTGCAGTTCACAGACAATTACAACAACTCTTATGGCTCTATACATCTCCTTTTTTGTTCCAAAGAAAAAATTAAGTCATAAGGGTTTGGAACGATATGAATAATAGAATGCCAATTCTGGAGCGACCTGTTCCATTAATATTCACCTTCAACTTCCTTTCGTCGTCACAGCTGCACAGGGAAATGAGAGACACCTTAAAGGGTTCCCACACAGGGTTCAGATTGTTTTTAATCACCTGTAGATACAAATCAATATCATTGTATAAACTAAAGAAGAATTATGAACAGTAAAAGAAAGATTATTATTCCATGGGGTGGAACTACTTACTTCAGTTCTGTGTACGAGCTGTTCTGTTCCATCATCATTGATCCGGTAAATCTCCAAGAATGGATCTGACTTGCTGAAGAGATCCTACAGTCACAAAAGAATGTCAATACAGTCCAGCCATTCAAAGGAGAACGTTATGCAGGGGACAATATTTTAAAACCCCATGGTTTTATGAATGCACTCTTCTTTTCTATATTGATAGAAATTGCCTGGGTCAGTACAAAGGACTTGTCCTTTTTTTACACACCCAAAAGCCATTTGCTACTTGATCTCAAGGAGATCTATTATACTTGAAAACTATCCATTAGCATTCACATTCATGTCAATGACAGTTGCTCTGCTGGCGCAAAAGCACAGATGATTTAATGTTTTTCATTTTGGCTCATGGGCATTCAGTTCTGGATACAGATTTTTTCTGAGCTGTAAATTTCACGTGAGTAATCAATCTGGAAAGTGATGTCATCACAACACTCGTTGACTGATGGCACCACAAGAATGTGCGCCAAACTGTTCACTAGCTACTATCCTGAGCAGAAGTAAAGTCTCTTTAATGCTTTTAAGAGCCCTCCAAAAAACGTCACTGGCATACCATTTTACTATAATATAATGAAATAGTTATGATTTATATGTTGCTTGTGTAACCTCTCTCTCCCGGGTCCTCACCGCCACACCTCGTTCTTGTTCCGAGTGGGCCTCGAACCCGGATCTCCGGAGGTGGACGCACTAACAAGGAGGCTAAAGACTGCAGCCACTAGCGTCAGTCGCTAGTGCGTCTCTTGAGATCAGGCCTCCGTTACACTTGCAAACAAATTTATTTAGAACACAAGACTAATTTTCAATTTCAATTGAGAAATATGCCTTGTTCCTACCAGCAAAGGCTATCTGTGCTAACCAGCCAAACCTTGACACCTTTGCCCGCTATTGCTAGTAATACTTGGTCCATTTCCCCTGAAGATTGTAAATTTGACTCTATAGGTGCAGTCACATTTACCATTGTTTACCATTGTGAATTTTCTGGGCGAAATCCAGTAATTTCCATAGAAATCCATGCAATCTGTAATTTTGCATGAGCGTGAAAGATTTCCCCACAGATTTCACAAATATTGACACTACTGAAAATAGCTACCCAGGCTCTTTGAAAATACTTGAAAAAAACATACCTATACATATGAATCGATAAAGTTTCCAGTTGAAATGAACACTAGAGGCGGTAAAACTCAAACATATTATACTCCTTTTCACAAAAAGTATGGTTTACAGGGCCAGAGTTTTGATTAAGTAAGCCTAATTTTCACACAAATTCTTGCACAATATTATGATAACGCTGCAAGATTTGAAAACTGATACTTTTGAATGTTAGCATCACATATATAGCTTCAAACGTATGAGTTTTCTAACTCAGTAGGTTTGCTCGGTAGCTCACGCAATACAGTGTTGCACTTGTGAGGTAAAGCACTCTGGAATAAATCCTGTGAAACTAGGGTTTGAAAAAACAGCTCAAACCCACGTAAAAGGGTTTGCATCAACAAATGCATTTTTAAATCACTTTTGCTGTCGTTTCACGATCAGGTATGTTTAGGGTTGGGTTTGGTGTAGGGGGTATGTTATTTTCCAACACAATACAGCATTAACCTTTTAGTGACACTCCTCAGATAACTGAATTCTAAACTGCTGCAATACGTGCCTGTACCAACGTAAAAAAAAACATGTGGAACCGGTCACGTATCAAACGCGATATTAGCACCATTCACTGGACATTTCACTTTGAAGCTGCCACAAAATGTGCAGTAAGGTACGTAATATCAGTGTTGCAGAAACGTCGCCACAAGCACGTATCTTCAATGAGCTTGGGTTGGACTATAGACAATGGATCTTTTTTGCCTGTGAAAGTTTGCTAATGTGACCGCACCTTAAGTTTCTGAGCATATTTTGTCTGGTTTTGGGGGTATATTACCATATGGATAGCCTAAAAACTAACATGGACTAAAGGTGACAAAAATAAATTCTGATTTCATGGCTCTTGAGCTAAACATTTGTAAAGGGAAAATACATGTGTGCAATAAGACACTTTAGGGAAGAAATATTGGTCAAGGAACCATGAACACCTTTCACGATTATCACATGCCCATGTGTGTTGCTGCCGATTGTGCTTATAGCTGTGGCAAATCAAATCAACTATATTGTCTGAAACAATCATTCAACATAAGGTTTCTGAATTGCGGCTTTCTGGAGAAGACAGAGGTCTTTGTTCCTAAGTGTGTGCAGATGTGAGAGAGAGAGAACGAGGCACAGAGATAAAGGAAGGGAGAGAGGAATTGGTAGAGCAAAAAACGAGCCATTTAATATCCCCGTTTCTCGCTGCATTAGTGTGAGACATCTCCACAGGGACGCTGAAAGAGGAGGTGCCCCCACTATCTGGTTGTCAAGGTAACATCTTGCCAGTGGTTTGAGTGAAGACTGATTTAGACAAGTGATTTGTCTGTTGTTCGCATTCGTAACATGCATCACACCTCTCACAACTGTCATTGCATTTGTGAAGTTCATATGCACTGATGAGTCCTGGCTCTTCATTGCTCCCAAAAGACATTTAAGGCTCCAAAGAGATGAAATCTTTAGTGGCATTTTGCTTTAATGGCTGGCTAAATGCACAGACTAAAGGTTAATTCTGTGCTTGTCTTTTATGATCTGATGAAAGATAGAGCTATCAATGTCCCCTGAAAAAGACAAAATATGTGCTAATATCTACAGAGAAGCCCGTGTGAAGGTACAGCACCCAATTAAGCATTAAAATTCACAGAGAAATTGCCAAGTGAAGAGTCTTTGATAAATGTCACATAACCCAGAGCGACTTTTCGATTTAAAATGCATTAGTGCCTTCTTCATAAAGAGAAATGGCATTCACATCAAAGACACAGACGTCTCTAGCATGCATCACGTGCAGAAGCTGTCATGAAGTCCAATATAGTTTGATTTGCTAATATGTCCATTCTGTTAAATCATATCAGTCTGTATGCACAGAAAGCCAACGTTATTTGAACAGACAGATCTTGTCCAAAGATAGCAGCACAGCCATTATTCTGCCTAGCTGTTTATTAGACTCCATCCATCCTCTCGCTATGATATCCGGACCGGGATACCAGAGCCAACTCTAGGTTTTGAGGATGAGTGTGAAGAAGAAATGCTAATCAGCTCATGTAATACAGCTAATGTGAAATGTTCAGAACGCACATATTAATGATTGTAATTCCTAACAAACACATGTAAAACATCATAATCTACTGAGCAATAATTAACAGACCTGAGGGTAAAATGTGAAATCACAAGCTTCAATATAACAATTACAAGAGGGGATACAATAAAATCCCCCCTCCCTGAAATAGAGCATTAAAAAGGTTGGCTGATGAATATGTTGGGGCTAATGGTAGAGACTGCTAGAAAAGAAAGTGAGAATTCAATTGTATTGCCTTTTGGAATTTGCCACCATTCACCTTTCAGAATTAGCCTGGTTAATGTTCTAATGGGCAGGCGGACAAACTCGTCACTAGGATGGTAATACATTAGTGATATGACAGCGTAGCCTCTGCTTTCATGCATATGCAATGTGCAAATAATGTGGTTCCATATTCTGCATACAGCAGAACTAAACAAGATTTACTGCATCAGCATATGTCTTTAACCAAGAGAAATCCTGCCTTAACAAATTTGAGATGACATGCTGGATTAGCTTTACCATACTGAACCAAAGCACATGTGCATTTTTAAGTTGAAGAGATGGAGGATTATCTACAGTATAAGAGGCACGGGACAACCCCTCTATGCGAGGGTCCCTCATATGGTATGACATTATTGTTCAATTTGTATGAAGCTGTTTTTACACTGCATAATAGCAGCAGATATTCTGTGCGTATACCCAGAGGCATAGAGGTGACAAATGTATTTACACAGATTCACAATTGTAGAAAACAATGGATCATGTGCATTGATTTTTTTGTGTGCACAGCAGACAGAAAATAAGACGTGTACTGATTGATCATGAGAGAGCTGCTGTAAGGATGTGTCTGTGTAAAGATGCTTTTGGTGCAGAATTTGACAGGGATACATTGTTAAGCAACAAGTTCTGTTGTTACTAGCGCAAGTGAATGATTCTGCATTTACCAAACCTATAGTTCCAACAAACATTCGCAAACTTGTATGGTTGGAACTACAGCTTTCGACCTGTGGTTAGAATCATGGTTTCTTGTTAGTGTGACATGTGGACGCTCTTGGGCACAATAAACAAGCTAACATGCAGTTAATTCTATATCGTTTCTTTCCATTAAAACGTATATATATATATATATATATATATATACATTTCAATCTATAAATTTTGGTCTGTGAACAATCCAGTGCCTTTTTTGAAGAGTGCGTATGTGCATGAATGTGTAAGGTAAAATAGTGATAAAATAAAGCAAAATGACATGGATCAAAAATAGTCCTCAGATGGCATATTCCACAGGTATATGCCACAGACTTCCAAATATGACAATACTCTTGCAAAAGACTTCATTTCTAACATATATAAATAGCTAAAATAAAAGTACATATGTATACAATATTATCTAGACAGAGATTCTATGAGAAACTATAAAAAAAGAGAACAGAAAAAAACTCTTTACACTCTTTGTCTCAGAACTTTCCTCAGACCCCCGAATGTGCAAAAATTGCACCTTTAGAGGTATAACATTTTGTTACTGGGGCAAGACCCCTAAAGGGACATCTTTGTACCTTATCTTCCTCTAAAAGGTATATTAGTACTTTAGTTGCAGTTATTCTTCTTATCTTTTTGAGCTGAATGGATGGACAATGGATGCATGGTTAGAAAGATGGATGGATGGGCAGATGAATGAATGGATGGATGGGATGGGCAAATAGATGAATAAACGGATGGATGAATAGATGGATGGGCTAGGTGCTTCCCAACCCATCCATCTATTCAAGCTTTTAGAGGTAAATACGGTACAAAAATGTCCCTTTAGGGGTCCTGCCCCAGTAACAAGCAGTTGTACCCCTAAAGGTACAATTTTGGCACATTTGTTTCTGAGTGTAACACCCATTTTGTGACCTCAAGTAGAACAAACAGACCCTGCAAAAACATTAATTCCTACCAAATCAGAGTTTAGATTTAGTTTAAGGGTTTGGGACTTTCCATTCTGATCAACCAATCATTTCCATCTGATTTTAGGGGAAGATAGTTTGACACATTATATGGTACTAATATGTACACTTTAAGTACAAATATGTACCTTTAAAGTACTAAAATGCACCCTTTAAGGGGAAAATAAGGTAGAAAGTAAGGGTCCTGCCCCAATGACAAATTATTGTACCAAACCAAATCAGAGTTTAGGTTCCGTTTAAGGGTTTGGGACCTTCCATTCTGATCATTTTCATCTGATTTTAGGAGAAGATAGTTTGACACACTCTCAGAAAAAAAGGTACAAAAGTTGTCACTAGGGCAGTGCCTTTCCAAAAGTAACTAATATGTACCATTTAGGTACAAATATGTACTAAAATGCACCCTCAGTGGTAAGTAAGGTCCCAGTGACAGCTTTTGTACCTTTTTTTCTGAGAGTGCAGGACTATTGTTCCAGCACCAGCAAAAGATGTTGATCCAGGAACACGTCCTAGTTGGCAAAATCACAGTCAGCCAATGGTTTACGTGGGTGCTTCGGCTCACTGTATAAGCGTCTCCAATCAGAATCGCAGCCTGCGCTTTCTGTTCTGGTACAGATGCCAAATAGCATTTCTGTCTCACTGTAAAAGGATGAATAGACAATATATTGATTTTCCCACCTAATGTGGGGTTGAGGGGATGTGAAGCTTGAGCGAACAAGTCATGACTATCAATTTGCTGTTTCCCTTCATTACATGAGATGTATGAATTCATGAAAGTCAGACAAAATTGATGAGGAACGAACAAAAAAGCTGTGTTTTGAAGATAACCGCTGAGCATAAATGTTGCCCCAGGCTTAGAGGAAGAGAACAGCAGCATATGAAAGAGGAAAAGGGAGGGAGAAACAAGAGGAAAGAGTAGGAGAACCAGATGAGATGAGTGCTGAGAGTAGGACGAGGATTGCAGAGGCGTTTGTGTACTGTGCGGCAGCGCAGCGGGAAGTGCCGACACCTGCAGAACTACAGGGCACGGAGAGAGCTGCGCCGTGGGCCGCGCTGTGTGGGAGAGGCTGTTTGCACACAGAGAGTCAGCCAGCCACCCTACGCTCCCTCAGCGCATCAGCTCTTTTAGCCCTCACTATCCAGAGAGCTTCCATTCTCATTAGGAAACCTCAGCTGAATAAATAGGGTTTCAAACATTATGCCAAAGCCAAAAAAAGAGAGTGGGATTTTATGAAGCCATAATAGCCCTAATGGCTCTTAACGGGGCCGAAACTGAGAAGCCAAAACATTAAAGGCAAGTTGAAAGGTTCTTTGGCAGCTGCAATTATTGGTTTCAAAGGGCCAAAAATCACTACTTTACAAACAAAGAATATTATTTTCTGTCACTAGGTATACTTTAAAACCAAAACACACTGAGTGTAAACTCTGGTGAGTAGTTCATGCCTTTTTTTTTTAATGGAAAACGAAAAACATCACTCCTTACCTTATCATCTAACTTCTTGGCACAGAAGGAAAGCTCCAAATAGCCATTGTTCCCAGAAATCTCTTCTGCGTGAATCTTGGGAAATAAGATAGAGATTAGCTGAGACAAAGCCAACATACTGTTATTATGTGTACTCTATGTGGAATCTAACTATCTATCTATCTACATATCTATCTATCTATCTATCTATCCATCCATCCATCTGTCTATCTGTTTGTCCATCCATCCATCTTTCCATTCATCCATCCATCCATCCTCCTGCCCAGCCCATCCATCTGTCCATATATTCATCCTTCTTCAATCCATCCCATCCATCCATCTGTTCAATCATTCATCTGTCCAGCCCAGACCATCCATCCATCCATCCAGCTCTCCGTCCATCCTGTCCATCCATCCACCCATCCCATTCGTCCATCAGCCCAATCCATCCAGCCAATCCATCCATCCGTCTGTCCATTCATCCAATTACACATCCCATCCATCCATCCATCCAAATCAGTCCTTCTGCCCAGCCTAGTCAATCCAGCCACCATTCGTCTGTCTATCCGTCCATCCATTCATCCATCCACCCATACCATTAATCAATCTGTATGTCCATTCATCCATCCATCTGTCCACCCAGCCCAGCCTATCCATCCATCTGTCCATCAATTAATCTATCCATCCATCCAATCCATCTATCTGTTCATCAGTTTATCTGTCCAGCCCATATCCTCCATCTGTCTGTCCCTCCACCCACCCGGTCCATCCATCCATCTATCCATCTGTTCATCCATATGCCCATCCCATTCATCCATCCATTCATCCATCCATTCATTCATCTGTCATCCATCCATTTTTCCAACCAACTATCCACTGTCCATTCATTCAATTAAAAAAGATAAGTAAAAATTGAAGAGAAACTCGATCAGTCTTGAGTGCAAATGTTCTAAATTACTAACTGTAATTGCTGTTTCTGGAAACGTTTTAGTATGTAATTTAATGTGAACAACACTGATTAAGGGAGCTATTTATGGAGTTGTCTTTGACCTCTACTAGTTTGTTAAGAGCTAGTTTGACCTCTACTAGTTTGTTAAGAGCAGTTAAATCATCCCATTTTGTCTCACCTCAGATCAAAATGTGTTTTCGTCAGCATTAGAAATCTATAACCAGAGTGTAATACAATGAGGGGGTCCAGCAAAAACAGTCCCTGCTGTAGGTGTTTCAACATGAAAAGGCCATTAGTCTGCAGTGTGGTCAGGAAAAACTTTGTTAAAACTGATGAGAAAGCAGAGAATCAACATCTTTGATAAGGATGTGGTATTACGTTTTGTCTTACGGATGAACCTTGTCTGCCGGCAATAGAAACATGCAAAAATAACTTTGGGCATCACTTTTTTAATGTACTTTTTTTGTGTGTGTGTTTGGCTTGTTTGAATTGAGTTGAACTAGCTGTGATATTGTAACTGAAATACTATTTTCCCATACTGAAACTGATAGTCTACATTATTTTACACCATGTTAGCAGATATTGTAAGAATATCCAGAGTCTGTCTACCTACAGTACGATAAGGTCAAATTGGTGTCATATGATATGAGCCCAGAAAACAGCAGAATTTAAGTTAGAGGTCAAACCGCCTGCACTGCAACCCAAACTACACAGAGTTATATTAAAAGTCCTTTACACGGGTTAGACCTTATTCCTGAAACCTGATGACTTTTTAATGCACCAGTGTTAGAGATTCGCCATTATCTATCTCTCAGGCATCACACGAACTAGCGGTTTCACTCAACTGTATCAAGAAATATTTTAAAGTGGCATTTCATTCCAGAAGTAATAGAAAAAAAATCACTCATTTTGTAATGTGCAGTCATCCTCTGAGTTTAGTGATGAGCGACATGGGCATGATTTGGCATTTAGTTGGCACTTTAAAAAAGTGGGTGGACCTATAGATGAATGAATATCACTTCAGAGTGGCATCTCATAATGCAAAAAAATGTTTTTTCTTATGCTCTAAACAATGTAATGACAAAATACTCAATTCACAAAACTTTTTTTTTCTGGTAGTCAGGAGGACATGTATGTATGTATTAATGTATGTCATTTGAAAAAAAAATGTGAACATAACACATCTGAATAAAAATAAACAATAAACATATTTTACAATGTAAAAAAACTATATAAAAATGTAAAAATATTAAATCACTGAAAGTCTAGTTTTGATCTCTAGCAAGATATTCTATCCACATTTGCATTTAGACTAAATGTTGGCTACTGTAAGATCGGAAATGTATTTTTTGCCCGAAATACATTTTGAAATATATTTTGGTATATGAATATAATACACACATAAAATATATTTCATTGGGCTTCACTGTTTACAACAGATATTTAGCATATAAAAATATATATTTTTGCCATTATTTTATTTTATTACTATTTTCTTTTTTTTTTTTGCCATATGGCTGTTAATTAGGAGAGCATACTTTTGGTCACATGGTGTATTTTAGCAATATTACATAAAATGCACAGGAAAACATCACCTGTCCAAGCGTGCACTCCACACCACCCAGGAAGTCGTCGTCTCGCGTTCCAATACTGTGAGTTCCGTGAATGTCGTAGACTTCAAAACGCAGTTTCTGTACTTCCTCAAAGTAGTAGTCCAGCATTAAGACTTTGGCAAAGACCGGATTCAGGTTACTCTTGATCACCTCAGTGCGGTCCAGCTGAATTACAGAAAGAACAACAATTTAGTCAACAGTAAGTGAAAATCTTCTGACTGGAAGCATCTGGCTTCACAGGCTGATCACAGACTGTACTGTTTATTCATCTGTTTGTGCGCCGTCCCTGGATAAAGTCAAAGAAATGACGGCAGTGGGATGAAGGCCTCATGAGTCTGATTGTTGAGCGCTTCCACACATGCAGCTGCGATGATCATGGCCTTGCTCTCATACAAAAGACATTTGTTCTTGTTTCTCATTCATCAGCTGTCTCTCTCCTTACCTCCCCCTGCTTTGCTATTGTTCACTGGTGCATGTCAAAAACAAACAGAGCAAATACAATCATTTCTGAATTAAAACCTCACAGAGGCAATTAGCTGGAGGAGTTAATGCATCATTCTCCAAGATGTTGGAGATGCAATTAGTTTAGAGATGCAATCTGAAAATATAAGTATAAAAGCCATTGAAAGAGACGGTGCTTTACTTTCTAATGTACCAAAGCAAAGGCTGAACAAACAAAGAATGGAAGTTCATAAAAGAGTGAATCTTCAGTGAATGGGTGCCATCAGAATGAGAGTTCAAACAGCTGATAAAAACATCATAATAATCCATACGGCTCCAGTCCATCAATTAACATCTTGTGATGCGAAAATCTATGTCTGTAATAAACAAATTCATTAATAAGGCGTTTTAACTGAGTTTAGTGATGAGCGACATGGGCATGATTTGGCATTTAGTTGGCACTTTAAAAAAGTGGGTGGACCTATAGATGAATGAATATCACTTCAGAGTGGCATCTCATAATGCAAAAAAATGTGCATTGTAAAGAGGTGGGTATAGATGCCAAAAACCCAGCTGTAGTTAGGCCCTTCACATTATAACTATAAAAGTATCATGATAACTATAATAACTATAAACTTTTAATAATCATTCTAGTTGTATGAGAATAGGGAAATCCACAAATATAAAGGCCTAGATATACTCACAACAAAGTTCTTTTTCAATATTCACCTAAAGACAAAGTCACATTGCATTCATTTAAATCGCACTTTATACAACAGGCTGCTTTAAAGCAAGCAGTTTTACAGTATTAAACAATGTCAGTGTCACTTTCAATTAGAATTAGAACTTCTAGAATTAGAACAGCTCTGCAGTGTGTTCATGTTTTTGCTCGTGTCTGACCTCGAACTGGAGAAGATTTCCACGTCAAAGAGATTGGAGCCCCAGAACAATCGCCACAGATCAAAGGTGTCTACCAGAACTTTTCTGGAAAGTTCCCTTTTGGCAAGCTGTCTCCACCTCCCAAAACAAACTCCAAACAAACTTTTTTTTAGCCTGATTTTGTTTGAAATTACCAGTTCGGTCTTCAATTTCGCTTGAAGTATGGCTTTCGCTTGAAGTATGATATTGTTGGAATCATTTTAAGAGAGACTGTTTTCTGCTGATGAATGATAAAGCATTGACAGCCAATCAGAATCCACCCAATCAGTTTATACAGTTATTGTTATTGTTACCGTTATAGTTATCGTTCTTGCAGCAGTCCTTTACACTCTTGATACTAAAAGTGATTGATTTTGTCTAATTGAACACAGTGATTCTCACACACATGAATTTTTGTCAAAGACATTTCTGGTTATTGTTGAATGGTGAGTTGGCCTTGCAAACAGTGTCTGCTTTCATTTTGCAAATGCACAGATTCATCCTCATCTGACTATCTGGGAGTGTGTCTCCAGAAAGTGACTTAAACTGTCTTTTAGTTATTCTGTAAACAAAACCAAATCGCCTTTGTGGATGCTAAAATTAAGTGATGACAGATGAATCCTCTACCACGAGCTTTCAGTGAATGTGTAAATGTGTACAGCAGCAATTAAAAAATAATTATGTGTGTAGATTTTTTTTTTTTTCAACTCACAGTGATAGTGGATTTTCCAGCATATTTTCCATATTTCAGCAACAGAGGTTTCACCATCTTTTTTTGGGCGACTATCTATGGAACAAATGAAAATGTTTAAAGGATTTTTGTTTAATAATGTTTAAAAACAAATAATAGTTCAAAAGCACTCAAATATGTTTCAAAATGAGCCAAGAAGTGGCCAAAAAAATATTTGTAAATATATGTAAATATATTTTCTATCAATATTTTTTTGGGAATATATATATATATATATACATATATA